CTGTTTTCTCACCTATACCCTCCCCCTGCCCCGGGAGCCGAGGCCGCCCAATTATTACTAAGTCTTTTTGTACTCATATACCTCTCATTCACCCTATCTATCCCCTGATTTCCCTAAAGATTAACTTTGATTCGCAAAGATTACTCGAGTACAAACCTACCCTGAGCAACATTCCTACCATTTTTTTTTATTTTCTTTTTATTTTTCTTTCCACCCCCATGAGAAACATACCATACCGTTCTTGGTACCCAGATCTTGTACTTGACAGTCCACGACTTTACCACAAGGCTAACTGGTGATTGTTGGAAACCTACACCAACTTATTCTCCATAACCTTACTATGTAATATTAATACTAAAATTTCCATCTAAAACGAGATCCGTACCTTCGACAGTGGACATATGAGACCAACATCTTGACCACTAGACTACAAGATCTTTTGCTGAAATGCTATGGTTATTTAATTGACTTTATCCTTTTCACGAAGTTCACAATGAAAAACCGTTGTAATAGGATTGGAGTTATCAATATCCTCTAAACACATGCCAGAACAAAAGTTCCTCAACAGAATTCTGCCAAAAGAGTAGGTACCGATACTCGGTGTGCGCCTGTGGGGTATGAGTTGTCTGCTTAGTATATACGACATTGCTAAATGTGGTTATTGTGGGATTATTACTCGTTTACTGCGACTTCGCGGGGTTTATAAATACTTAATTTCACTTTTTCTCGCTTTGCAATGTCGTTTAAGTACGTTCCATAAACGTTAAGCGTCCGTTTTCACTCACTGCATTTACTGCAACCTAAAACTGGTCAATTTTTCAACAAATGAAGTGAATTAAGGACATTTAAAATTTTCTTGACATCATACAATAGTCCACACAGTGCACGAATGGCCACGTGCATACATCATGTGCGTAGAGAATTAAAGACAGTACACTTACATGCACGACGCATGTCTGTAAGTTGCAATTAGCATAATAAAAAAAGGCCCAGATAACGTTTCGAACCATGGTCATCTAGATTGCGAGAACGTTGTCTTCACCACTAGACCACCAGCGCTTGACGTTCAAGGCTACGTTTATCTCAATCCTCTTTTTGGGTGAATAATGAAAATCATTCTTCCGAGGATTCGAAATACCGACTTCAATGTTGCGAGACCATTGCCTTCATCACTAGACCAAAAGAGACCTAATGATTCACAGGTTCTTTTTTTTTCTTACCTAAATCTATTCTTTCGGGTTGTAATGATAATTTAACTTCTATACTTTTTAAAGTACGATGTGCTTCTGAATTTCGCGATCGAACATTTAGGTTCGCAAGGCATCTAAATGCGAATATGAACTGTATTGTTTATAATTTTCTTGTATGATTGCATGGCGACTTTAGTAATTATAATAACTTGTAGGTACACCACGTAAGTATTAAATACTGCAAAGCTTTCGGTCCGTTAACCCGGACCTTCATCAGTGCAATTACTTGAATACACGTTTGCGCGTCACTTAAATATCATGTTAGTCGTGATTAGTTTGCTCTAATTAAACCGTTTCATTTAATTAAGTTCTAATCAATGCGCGCGCCCTAGACAAGTATTTGACTAAGAGACACCGAAAAGAGCACGCCACGTACTATTAAGAGCAAACTAATCACGACTAACATGATATTTAAGTGACGCGCAAACGTGTATTCAAGTAATTGCACTGATGAAGGTCCGGGTTAACGGACCGAAAGCTTTGCAGTATTTAATACTTACGTGGTGTACCTACAAGTTATTATAATGTATTGTTTATGTTCAGAAGCTCTATATTAAAGACTGGCACGTGCGCCGGAGTTAACGCCAGAACAGGCGTCTTGTTTCTAGACAAATTACAACGGAAAATTTGCTAGCATTAAACAGTGCGAACTCGTTTGGTAAAACTAAAAGCGACAACAATTGTTAACAAATCTTTTTCATTCCAAAAAATATTAGTTAGTTTAAATAAATTTACATCGATTTATAAATCATACATTTTCGAATCAATCATTTTAACATGTCCCATTTACTTGTTTGAAAACTTTGAATTACTGTGGTAACCCATGGACAAAGAATAATACGGCTGCAAACTGCATTTGTGTAGAAAGATTATAAAATGAAAGAAAATGACTCGCCATTTCAAATTAACAACGTTCGCAACTCAATATAAAGCCCCTTTAAACACCTCTTGAACACCCTTAGAATGATTTGTAAATTCAAGAGCGCTTTTTTACGAATAACTCAAAACTCATTGGGTTTACATGATTTTCTTGATATGTTTTGAATTTCCGGCAAATATCTATATCAACAACAGCTTTGTCTAAGCGCTAACAGCAATTAATAGAAAGTAAACGGCGAACTAATATGTTTAAATACAAAATTTATATGCTTGATTTAAACGAAAGTAGCTTCTAGTTACATTAACTGCTGAATTTAGACTGCTTTAAACAGCTATCGCATGAAAGACCTATCTATCGCATTTCTAACTTGTCCAATATACGGCAATAGTTTTAATTTTCAACCAGGAAATAGTTCCAAGTAATCAATCCCAAATCAAGGCCAAAGGCCATCAACGACAAGGGCATACTTTATGTTTCTTTTCTTCTTGCAAAGTAAGCTTGGGAGTTTCTAAAAATAAATATAATACAATCGACATCTATTCTCAGAAATCCAAGTTTAATACATATGAATGCGAGTTTAATGATTTGCAGAATGCTTTCAACCTTCGGTTTGTTTTCGACTGGTTTTTCCAAACACGCCTTCGCGACAGCATAAAATAGTTCGGCTAGGAAGGAAATAAATAAAAATAATTGACTTTTTTAGAAGTTATTGCCATGGGATTTTGGAAACTTATGGTATCTAAAACCATGGTTAATAAACTCACCAACATTTTCACCGTTTAAACTAGAAGTTTCGAAAACTTTCGCGTGGATTTCTAAGAAAGATGAATAAATTGTTACAACTTTGGTCTACAGTATGCTTTTCTTAAACAATGTTTTCGTGCTAGTGTTTGGTTTAAATCTTCAAAATAAATCACTACCATCTGCATAATCTGTTGTGGTATGATAATCAACCTGCCTCGCTTTTTGTCTTTTTTAACTAAATCTAATTTTGTTCCACATAAAAATATTTCACAGTTCTGAAAAAGATTCAACATCTAGTTTATTGTATAATCTCTTCAGTAATTCACTGGATATATTTTGTACCAGCAAATGTCATGTTTCGAACCTCCTCATGTGTGTGCAGTTCGTTAACCCAGAACTTCACTTTACTGAAGCTACTTCCAATCCGTAAGATCTGTAGGGAAATTGATTTGAGAGTAAAGATAGAATCGATTTAGCAAATACATGAATACAATCCACTATACTTGTACTTGAAATATTTACCGTAACAATTATTGCAGCCATGGCTCCTCTTATAGTAAATTCCGGCTCATCGCTTCATACCGTTCTGATCCTGCTGTATCCTTTATAATTTAAATTACTGCCTGTTTTTAAAAGTCCATTTTAAATAACTTGTAACCCCTGGACCCCATCTATGCCACCTGTGTATGGGCTTTATCTTAACCTACCATGTCATCTTTCCCTCTGAAAAAAGCTGAGTACTGAAATTAAAGTAACCCCAACTTGGCGTTATCTTAAGACTGTTCCATGTGAAAACCCAAGAGCTGTTTATTAATATTAATTTACCCAAATTCCTAATATGAGTGTTTGGTCGTTGATTACTTCTCTTTTGCCCCAAAAGCTGCACCTATCGTCTATGAAAATAATATGAAATGATGGCAGAATAAGACGGATTGATGTGTGTTAAGAGAAATATTGATACAAGCGTGGAAAGGTGCGGTATAAGAGGTCCTTCAGGTACATTTTAATTTAATGGATTGATTAAATTAATTAAAAATTCTGATTACACTACCTTTTAAATAGCAGTTCATTGGTTATACAAAAGGCATATAAAATCATCTGGCATTATAGACAGAAATATAGTAACAGAATATAAGTACAAGTATATATTAGGTACATTCAGAGCCATTTCACACTAGTAAAGTTGAGGTGAATATTATGGCAGAATGAGTAGTTGATTGGCCACAAATCTTAATGATCATAATGGTAGTTATTGAGCTAATTTGGGGAATCAATATCCTTATTAATTTTTTATTATACATATAATAAGGGCACTTGCCATTTCATCTTACATCATATACAAAAAAGTCACTAAAGATTAAACCTCAGGCGCGTCTGATCCAAACGATATACCTACATTTTGATAAGGAATATCCTTATTAAATCTGTCATGAAGGTATCTCTCAACGAGACAAGTTTTACCACTGTATTCTTTGCCAAGTAACACAACCTTTGCATCGACCTTGTTTGCCATGGAAAAACGCGCGATTGCCGATAGAAATATACAGTTTGAAATATTAACACAAGCCCTCTGTAAATATGGGCTTAATAAATCCTCAAATTGACTAGTTATGCTGAAAAAAAACTAGCGTTTGACGATGTCCGAGTGCTGTTCATGCACCATTAATCAGCAATTTTACACATCACGTTGAGGACGTTTTATGTATCCAAAGTTCCTCAGGCAAAATCCGGGCTTTGAAGAGCTGTCGATTCATCCACAAAGCAGATTTTCCAAATTTAGCGTCGAAAATGTAAACAATTTTCAAAGAATTCCCAAACAAAACCGAAAGTTGCTTCAACAAATTGTGTTTGTATACAAAGGACATTTACCGTAGGGCAAAGCACCAAAATGTCGTATGAAGCCATCAAAGTTCCGGTGTATGTCTTGTCAAAAATATGAGTTTAAAATTCCTAAAATGACTGAGAAATATATATTAAAAAGTCTAAAGATGATTTCGCTGTATTTTGTACATTTTTGCTCAAAATGATATCATTTTCAGGTCAATTTTATCCCGCGGGGAAAGTATTATAGCGGCACTTTATACCCTACGCAAGGTTCCTATGTTTCCATGCTGACTCTGCTGGAATCTGGAGGAACGATTCGATTCGAATTGTTTAACAGACGATCGACAGCTCAAAATGTCAATTCCAGCTCAATTCTCGCTGGCATTACAATGAATTCAGACGCGAGCTTTACCGTAGTGGATCGTGAACTAATTGCACCAGTAACCGCTCTGGAATTTGACGAAAAAGGGAACCTTTTTGTCGGTACGTGTTTCGATTTCGTCTGTAAACACTGGGAATTGTTACATTTGACGGTCAAAGGTCATTATGCATTTCTTCGAAAATCGCCTCGCTCCCTGTTTAGCTGAAGGTCACACCGTCACATCATAATGTTCCATGAATTTCGACCCCCTAAAAGCACCACTATTCAAGCTAACATTCCTGAATTCTGGTGAAAGCCTTTTTATAGGCCATTTTTTTCGACTGAATCCCATTTCGTTGGAAGCACGTGTTTGCAATTCTAAAATTTTACTTAGAACACACTACATATATAGCGTGTAATAGAATATAAATAGCATGTCATAGAATATAAATGGTTTAGCAACTGGGTTATCAGAATTGACAAAGCTTATTACAGCTAAACACGATTTAAGATGCATTTTAAAACCTCAACACAATGAAATTACCAGCTCAAATACCTGCATAACTACTGTTTAGGTGAAGGACCTTATCTCAAAATATATGATGCTACCATTGGAGAACTGGTTACAAAAGAGAGAATATTTGAAAGCCAAAGGATACATTCAATAAAACGTAAGCACGAACTGTAAGTCCCATCATATTTTTGATAAATATTTGAACATTTGATCAGATGTGGATATAAAGATAAATTTTGATAAGATCAAGCTTAAATGAACTATGAAGATTACTACATCTTTGTCCTTTGACATATCAATTTTACTAGTAAGAAGTCCATTTTGTGTCTAGTTTGATGTTTTTCATTAGACAATGCTTCTTCCCCTTAATTAGACCAATGACAGTAATTAGACAATTACTACAACCTGTAATTTGAACACACCCAAATGACCTCTAATTATAACACATCATGATTATTTATTACTACCAATTTATTATTACCTAATTTGAGTAGACCAATCTTTTCTCTAATTAGAACACACCATGTCCATGTACCTCCAAGTAGAACACAAATTGACTCCTATTTATTGTATGTCATTTATATCCATGTATTAGGAATCTCATTCTTCTTTTCTCTCCAATTAAACCACACCCTTAATCTCTAATTTAATCTCTATGATGGTTTAAACCACCATCATCAAACTATAATGATTCTATACATTGACCTATTCATACCAGCCCTTCTATATCCAAATTTCATAAGCCTATATACGTAATGAAAAATTAAATTCTCCGTCACTGCTAGTTTAATCACATATTTTTACAGTCTATCATTCAGACACACTCGGAACCAGGATTGTCATTTGCGGAGGACGGATTGTGAGGGTTCTGGACAGGCGAAATAGTGGCTCAACCAGGTTCAATATTTTTACAAATCTTAAATCTGTCCTAGAACATTTCTGATGCTTTGTTGTGTTTTAGCAAAGTCGAAACAATTCACAAAGAGACATTTAATGACTGGATTTGGGATGTTTGCTTACTGCAGGAGACAACGACTGAGGAATCCAATCGCATTGCTGTAGTTACAGGTCATAATGCTGTCTGGATATATGATTTTAACGAAGCCAAAAAGTGGTTGATATCTCAATGCGAGGAACAATGTATTTTGTATCCTTTTGAATTAATTCAGTGCGAATATACTCTTGGATATAGAAAACTGACGTCTGTAATTATGCCTACAGTCATTGTCCAAATGTCTTCAAATTTTCATGGAGTTTGACCATAAAACATGAGATTTTTTTCCATAATGGCCATCAACCGCGTGCAGATATTGTGCGAGATTCATCGGTCGAACGTTGAAGCAGATGTGGTTGGCGTGTGGAACAGTTTTTAACGAAGTTTTACTATGGAAAGTTACGGATAAGTCGCAATGTTCTTGCGATGGCAAGGTGCTTGTTAAAAAGCGACTGACAGGCCACGATGGCGTGATATTCTCGGTGAGGTACAGCGAGGATCGTGGATTGCTGTGTTCGGTGTCAGATGACAGAAGCATACAAGTTTGGCGGGCTGTCTTCGCACCTGATTATTCAGATGTTACAGTAAGTTACAGTCTAATGATGATCTTCAAAACCCTGCTCGATCAAGAAAGATTGTTTAGAACACATTTGTAAGACGCTGCAGGGGCGTGGCCGGTCCGAAATGAATGGGTGCACCCCTCGAATGCACAAGTGAGACGCGGTGGTCCCCATCCCTTCCGATTCCCCTGTGGCTACAGAAAAAATTTCCTGTCTCAATCTTTCTTATTTTGCCTTAGTTTCAAGCAGGTAAATTAGAGGGAACTTCGCCTACTGACCAATGTCTTTATACACGCGCAATATTCTAGGTATCGGCCAAGCCATTGTTAACTCTTTATGGCCACAAAGCGAGGGTCTGGGACTGTCTCATCTTGAAGAACCATATTGTTAGCATTGGAGAAGACTCAATGTATTTGTTGTGGAATTCTGATGGAAAAATAATTCGCTCGTGGAAAGGGCATATCGGTAATGTCGTGTTTTAATGTAAATCCTTTAAATCTCCTACAGTGCCTAATTTTCTCCTACGTTAGCCAACCTTAACCTACTTTAGCCTACCTTTACCTACTTTAGCCTACTTTAGCCTACCTTAGCATGCCCCACTTGGACTGTATTTCGCTACCAAAGGGAATATCATTCAATAGTGAGTCTTCCTACCTACCTACCTCTTCCTATGACAGGGAAAAGTATTTGGTCTTTGGCTTGTACAACGGACGAACAAACGATTGCAACGGGTGGTGGAGATGGCGCCATTAGGCTTTGGATGCTTGAGAATGACGTGGAAAATACGAGGAAAGAACATCATTTCGTTTCGAGCATCCCACAGCAACAAGAGATGACCACCTCTCAAACGAAAGAGGAAACTCCTCGATTGATCGGCTTACTTCAAGATGCCAGTGTCCTAATCATGACAGATCAAGGGTTAGTGTATTTACAATTGGTAATATATTGACTTGAAGAAGGGATCCTAATCCTTTCTTGATCCTGATCGATCCTAGCTGATCTCCTCTTGATCCTAATTGATCCTACCTGCAACCGTGCATAAACATACTACCCACTGTTTTCATTTTTTTAGGAACCTTTACAACTTCACGTGGAAACACGGTGGTACTTTACAATCTCCGGGAATATGGAGCCTCATTCATCATGAGCCAGCGTACGCGTCTTACAGCATCATGGCGCTGTCTGATTGTCGAACGATCGTAGCTCTTGGCAACCTCAATGGCAGTATCAAACTTATTTCTTTAACTGGTAGGCAGCATTTAATATTGGTTAAACTTCCTCCTCTCTCTCTATATATATCAACACATGCACATAATGTATCGAGACCGATTTCAGTTAGGCACATGGGGTACATTTTTTAATTCTTTGAAAGAAATCGAAAAAGATCAGTTTTATGAAAATTCTGAAGAAATCGAAAAAGATCAGTTTTGTGAAGATTCTAAATGAACGTTTTCGAGATCTGTTAAAAGGAAGAAAATCACTCATAACGTCGTTGGACATTACGTTGAATATTTCTTTACTCTTCTACACCCAGAACTTTCGTGGTGTGCCCTCGAGAGAAAACCCTACACTGACAAAGTTCTAAGTCTTCACTGGATCAAAGACGAACGAGGCGAGGGTAATTTTCACCTGTTCTCGTGCGGACCGGAAGGTTTGGTTATTTGGTGGTCAGTTGAGGGTCGAGGGAAGAGTAAAGAATTTCACTGTGAAGTGAAGGCAAGATTCCGTTTACCGTATTGTCGTCAGAGGTGGCCAAACTCTGTGTTTTTGGTCGACGGAGATTCCCTCTGCTCGACGTTTCTTCTCTGTGGTGATCGACGAGGGTCGTTGCATGTTTTTAAAGCAACGAATGAAAACGAGGTGAGTGTTAAAACGTTGATAGATTCCGTGGATCTAGAAACGATCAATAAAGTTATCGACAAGTGGTCGTATTGGTTGTTCAAGCAAAGTATTGGGTCAAATCTAAACCTGATAAAATTAGACAGATATGTCACCCGGACTAAAGAACTTGCGAGGTTACGAGATCTTTTGTTTCTATCGTTTTTCGTTCAGGCAACGGATCCAAAACAGTCCTTAATTGGTATCCACGGTCGGAATGGAGTGACATCGATATGCAGGAATTCTGGGTACATTTATACCACCGGGAGAGATGGCTGTATAAGACAGTATACATTGTCTGAGGGAGAACTGGAACTACTCGACAAGAGAAAGGTTTGAGAACAGTATTCATTTAATTTATGCAATATACGCACTGATCGCAAAATGTAAATTGGATGGCGAATGTGATTTATGTTTACTATTTTTTTCCAATGACGGATTTTACTTAAAGTGTCATATTATTTGCAAGTGTGATTGTTTAGCTTATATTATATTTATCCTGAATTGCCACGATCATATCGGTGCTTTTTTGACGTAGGTTTACAAGGGAATGGAATGGATTGATAGGGTTAATTTCACGCCCGAGGGTGAAGTGTTGGTCTATGGATTTCACACGGTAAGCTGTCTTAGTCTCTGTTTACGCTGTCAAAATTTGAGTTCATCACTGATAAATTCTATGACCTATATGACTGGTAGCAGTCTTAATTGGTAAAACATGCTTTCTTTGATCCAGGTGGATTTTATTATCTGGAGTATGACTCGAAATGAGGTCTTGTTTCGCATTCCTTGTGGTGGTGGTCATCGCAACTGGGATATCTCCTCTACCACGGTATAAACTTACACAATATATCTGCTCCAACATTTACTCTCTTCAAGTCTGTTTTAAGAATGATGTAACGTTTACAGTGTATAGTGCGGTCTGAATGAAGGCTTTCCAATTCAAGCCTTGTTTACGAGCTGCGTACAATTAAAGAAGTACGTATAACTATAAGATTCACAACTATTCATTTAGACAAATCATGATCTGGTATTCACGTATCTCAAACAGTCCTCCATCCACTTGCATATCTTCTCTGCAATTCAGAAACAACAAAGTTCGTCCATTATTCAGGTAAGTCTCGCTGTAACCGCATACGTGTCTGACATGACTTGTTTTCAGCCGTCCTGTCGATGTTAGTCATGTAGCGAGAAGCAAGTTTTACTGTATCATTATTTAAAATTGTTTTATGTATTTTAGGAAAGTTTTCATGGACGTGAAACCAACTGTGTTCGTTTTATCAGACCTCTACAAAAAACCAGCGAAGGTGAGCCTGTATTAATACGTCTTTCATATGCCAGAAATAACAAGGGATTAGTTTTTTGCTATAGAATTTCGCCTTGAGTGAAAATCTTATCTAGAATTATCTCAGCAATGAACTCAGTTACGATAGAACATATTCCACATTCAAGACTTTTGAAGTTTCGTTTAAGAAGCTGACTTAGGAAGCTGACTTGAAATTTTTGCGATCTTCACCTTGTAATTTGTTTATTTATTCTAAGCTTTCGGTCCGTGAGCCCGGGTCATCAGAAAACTTTAACAAACAAGTGCAATTTTCTTTTTGTAGAAATTCAGTTAAGTTCTCTTTTAGTAACTGGTAGTGAAGATACCACGATTAACATCATGTCCTGTATCCTTCGTTATTTTCGTTTTCAGAATGAAATAGATTTTCACAAAAAATACGCTATGTTTCTATATTTCCAAAATCCTTTGTCACCCTTAACAGCTATATACTAAGACAATCCCCAGGAAATCAATCGACAAAGATTCCGTAAGGTTGCATCTTGCGAGGGTCATATCTCAAGCGTGCGTTGCTTGGCTTATATTGAACTAAATCCTCAAGACTCTGAAGAAACGCCTTCTCTTAAACACCTGATATTCTCTGGTGGTAGCAGAGCCTCCATAAAGTGCTGGTCGTTGGATGTGGACAATATTTTGAGCGACAAAAAAAGCGACAGCTCTTCGGAAGAAGGGGCATCTTTACACTCTAGTTGTACGCTTTTTGCAGAGCTGAGAAGTCTCTCACGTAGGTCTCGAAAGAAGAAACGACTCCGCCACGATGTTGATGTCGGGGATTTCTCGTGTGATGTTCGTATCATGTCGCTCAGTATACTTCCACTTGCTGAAATTCTACCTGATCCAGGTGGAAGTTTAATGGATATCCGCCCGAATGCTGTTGGAGTAATTGCTGCTTGCTCGGACGGATATCTTAGGTAGGATTGATTAATTGATCTATCGACTGGGAATTGATTGCTATTATTGATTGGTTATGACCGATCTATAGAATTGCTATATTATGTGCCATATTTTGGTCACGTATTATAGCATTGCTTTACACAATATTTTAATCCATTTTCTTTCAGATTTTATGTGTTTGATTATAAACTAAAAACCTTTACGAACATCGGTCGAGGAAAGTGCAACGAAAGATGTTTACTTCGTACAGGACATTTTAACCACATCATATCTGCGAAAACTCACGTTGTTGTTTACGCGTCAGATACGGCTGGGTATATCAGCTTCTGGGATGTCACGCATATGTACGTTGAGCATTGTGCTCGTTTTTACAAAAATACTGATGATTTAGATGCAATAGATGAGCAGCTTTGTAAGCTAGACATGGAAGATGATGGCCCTGTCTTGGATGACGATGATTTCCAAACAGGAAGTGCTGTTAAGTGTTCGAACGACCGAATTATGCTTAGTTCAAAAAACGATCATATAAGAAGACCATTTTGCTCTTGTAAAATCCATCAGTCCGGGGTGAATTCTATCAGCTTACTAAGAAAAGGTAAGAGTTGTTTTACTTCGTACACAACGAAGCTGAGTAATCCTACTATTACTTGTTCTGATAAAGAATATCTTCTCCGTGTTGGCTCAGAATGGTGGCCAACATGATTCGTTGTATTGCATTAAGTTGAACATTTTTTGTTTTTGAGACGACGGTAGTTTTGTGCTGTGCAGCGGCGGTGATGACGGCGCTGTTGTGTTTACTACTTTCAAAATTCATGGCTCAAACGAAAAAGTAGAACTGGGATGTTGGGACATGGTTTCAATTCCTGATGCGCACACGTCTGCCGTTACTGGTAAGGTTTTTTTGACACTAGCACCAGCTTGCGCAGACCGACAATGCAAAAATATTCACAGCAAATTATCAATTCGTTTCACAAGAAATCAAATCGTATGCATTTTTGAGGTGTGAAACTCTTGGACAGCGAGACAGCTGTTTCTACTTCCGTCGATCAGAGAATGAAATTGTGGAGCATGGATTGGAGTGAAGAGGTACAAAAATTTGCTCAAAGCTTTATTTAAAAATAAGTGTAGCCTACCTTGGGCCCCCTTTTTGGCTTTTTCCTGATCTGTTTAATATTTCTGTTTCAGGGAACAAAGTTGTGTGCGGTCAATTTAATTGATATTTTCTGGCTCGATGTAGTCGACATTCAAGACATAGACGTGCTGCGGAACAAGTTAGTATAAATGAAGTATTTATCGATCAAAACTTTTCATGATATTATTCAGAATTTAGCCTGTTCTAGAATGTCGGTAAAAATGCACGAAATTCACAAATACATAAGGCCTAAAATGAATGGAGTTTAAAATAGGCTTTCATAAACAAATATGGGCGATTTTGGACGCGTTTTTGACCACAGGGATGTTTTTTAAACAGTTTCTTGCTTCTTTTACGTAGCAATGGAACATACAGCATCGCAGCCTGTGGCGTAGGTTTACAAATGCTGACTTTGAAATCCCTTTGTCCGTAATTCCCGACCTAAATTCTGACAGAAGGAAATATTCTTCGTTGGGTTCGCCAAGAATAACAGCCCGTTATGCATTGGCCTCGACAACTCATCAAAGAAAGAATATTGATGTTCAAGTGATGGAAAAGTTTTAAAGCATTTGGAATTTTTTTGACCGAGGAAAATGGTTTTTGGTTTAGATTTTTTGTTGCTAAACTGCGGTATATACATCTCGAAAATGTATATAGATCAGTGTAACAAAGAGTTACGATTTTATCGAAATTTATCCCATTTCTAACCCTGGAGACTGCGCACGAGTCCTTCGATGTTAGCCAATCAACATCGTCTTAGCGGCAAGCAGAGCTCGTTTCAGCCAATAGCTTTATTTTATTTCATTTCAATTTTTTAAATTTTTTTTTACATGACGTGTCGTGATTAATTACCTAAGATTGCTGGCTCTTAAGTTTGTTTACTTCCTGATTCAAGATGGCGGCTGTTTCAAGCGTGAAGATTTTGCGTAGCAAATTTAGCGGCTGTCTCCTTGGGGCGCTGTTTGGCGATGCGTTGGGGGCAGAGTTTGAAGGCTACTATTGGATGTCACCCGTACCCGAGTGGGCATTTGAAGTTTTTTCTGAAGAAAAGCTTTTGAACTTTCGGGAAATGGATAAACCCCGTTTCAAATTCACTGATGATTCAGCCATGATGATGGCCTTGTGTCGTTCTTTGCTGTCCGAAAAGACGCTTAACATCAAGAAACTAGCTCGGGAGTATACCGAGACGTTTTACCGTGAGCCATATCGTGGTTACGGAGGTGGAGTGAAAAGTGTTTTTCGCAGATTACGAGATGAAACGTTCAAGGATGTCACCCTGCCAGCACGAGAGCAATTTGACGGAAGTGGCTCGTATGGCAACGGAGCTGCAATGAGAGTCGCTCCTATCGCTTTGTTCAACCACGATAACCTCGAGGAGCTTAAGAAAGTAAGTTTAGTTTAAATCCAGGCAAATTCATACTCTAGAATAACTATTTATTTGTGGTCAGCTTTTTTAGTGAATTTTCCTTTAACATTTCATATCAATCATACATTCATGGAGGGGTATTCTTTAGTTATTCCAGGAATTAACGTCTTGATGTCTGCCAAATTTTCAGGACATATTCTCGCTCAAATCATTTCTAGAATTCCGCCCAAAATGCTCTGGTAACGCACGCGCATGCGCACGGCATTAACGGTGCGGTTCTTCAAGCAATGGCTGTTCACGAATCATTGCAAACACCGCCAGGAACTCTTGATGTTGAAGGATACATCGACAAAATGATCGCTGCTGCTGAAGAGTTGGAGAGGGTCGAGGTGGAGAGTGTCGAGGTGGAGAATGTCGAGGTGGAGAATGTCGAGGTGGAGAATGTCGAGTTAAATGAACCAGCAGAAAAGTAAGCAAACAACTCCCTCTCCCCACGAAACTTAGACTTACGATAAGTTGAGAGAAAGAATTATTCTCTCCACGCGTAGAACTTCACTGCCCCAACCCCCCCCCCTCCCCCCTCCAGGTCACGAATCCTACGTCATACCACATCCCTACCCCAAGTGACCCTGACCTTTATTGCTTTTAGAAAATAAATTCCAATTTAAAAAATAAAGGTGTTTTTGATTCACTGTTTTTAGCCATGTTCTTCGGCGATTTTATAGATCCAGTGCCTTTTAAAACCATTTCAAATAGAACCATTAAAATACGTTAAATCTTCCCTTCGCAGTTCCAACATTTGCGATGCTTTTTCTCGGAGGCTTTTGTATTGTTTCACACTCGGAAACAGTCGGTAAGCTATTGTGTCTAGATCGCTTTCGCGTTTCTATAATATAATCTGATGTTATATTATCAGATCGAACGATGAAGGTCGAACACCCGACGAGGAACAACGGAGATATGACATATACATAAGCCCCAAGTCGTATGTAGATCAGTTTCGAAATATCAAAGAAATGTTAGTGGGATCCAAAGACAACCCAAGCACTCAGCATGTCATTAATACCTTGGGCACTGGCATAAAGGCCATCGAGGCAGTTCCAGCTGCGATATTTTCTTTTCTGTACAAATCTGATGCCTGTGTAAAAGATGTCCTGTTCTACGCCATGTCTCTGGGTGGCGACACTGACACCATTGCATGTATGGCGGGCGCAATCGCCGGAGCGTACTGGGGCCGAGAAAATATCCCGGAGGATTGGTACCCAGTCACAGAGGGGGTGGAAAAGATGACCCAGTATGCCGATGAACTTTACGAGTTGCGTGTTCCGCAAAGCACTGGTTAAAAAGACTACAGAATAAATGAAGTCCTTTCAAAGATCTTTTAGACGCTGATTGTAGAGGGCCAAAGTGTTTAGTGACTGAGTTTTTATCGGTCAAAGAGATGCGATGCAATAGAATTTTATTTAAGGAACATAGAAACCTATAGTATGGTGTCCGTTTTTCCGCTAAAGGCTGCTTTCCACTTACGCGTTTTTTATACGCACGTACACGTACGGAAAATTTGAAATGCTTTTAAATTTTTATTATTTAACATCTAGGTAAACTAATGCATACTAAAATATGCAGAAAAGTAAGTTCCATCGGTTTATTTGCTTAGTTTTTTCAAAGGTAGCATGTATAAGGATTTAGACTTTTACGTGCGTCTACGTGCGTATGAGAAACGCGTGACTGGAAAACAGCCTTAATAATGCAACACACGACGCAACGCTTTTTATACAATAATGAAAATGTAATATAGTACAAAATCAGTAGTTGATAGTTGTTCGAAGATTTTCATAAAAATCTTGTATAATAATCAACATAGACGATGTGAAATTCTTTTTTTAATTGAAACCAGTCTTCGAGCCGTCATTTGAACGGTGTTTCAAGAAGGCATCTGCGCTATAGCTGTTTCTCAGTATGAAAAGGTTATGGAAATGTAATAATATATAGTTTAACTTATAAAAATGTTTGAAAATACAAGAAAATAAATTAATACACGTCTGGTAATGGTTGAACTGCATACGAGGACATATTCTTACTAATTTTGGTCGATCGGTCAAAGAGATGCCATGCAATAGAATTTTATTTAAGGAACATGGAAACCTAATTATGATGTCCGTTTTTCCGCTCCTCAAAGGAATGCCTTTGGCGAGCAGGAACGCCTTCATTTAACACCTTGAAGCGCGCCAAGGCCCCAAAACATCCGCTGCTTGAGAGTGGTACCCACACAAGCTCACCATATGGCAAAAAGAAACGATATGCGTGGTAAAACTCCAGAATATTTTTCGTTAAAACACAAATCTCTTCGATGTGCTTTGAAGCAGTGCAAAAGCTTCGCACGGACAAAGATGTCCGAAATGTGACGAATGGCAGATGGTGTTTTTGTATGCACACTTTGAGTTTATAAATTTGACAGGAAATTGAAAATCAACACTGAAGTCAACCTTTGTAATAAGCACAAATAGCTTCGCGTGGGTTCGTCGATGTAAATTAACGTTTGCATTAATAGACTTGAAGTATTCAAATGTATTTTTTGCATATTTTACTAAACACCTACTTCGAGAAAGAAAGAATTAAACATTGATGTCAGAGTCAATTTCAAATATTATGTTACACAAAGCAGAAGTCTTTCTACGCCTACAGTATATCTTGTCGAATGTCGAAGATAAGGATTTCAAATAACGTTTGTCAACTCAGTATTCTCTCAGTACTCAGTACTCTAACAGTATTTATTTCATAATAAATATGGCAACTTTAAATTTTTCAATTTTTTTGCCACACGACACAGCGGCAACACCCGGCCTGTCGACAATCCACGATTGTAAACTCATCCCTATTTTGGCGGGGAAATGCGATGCATTCTGGTATACTGTGGTTCAAGCAGATACGATCTAGTAAATATTGGTTCATCATTTTAATGAAAATTCAATGCAAGCGACTATATTTGGATTTTCGAAATATGTTCGCCTTTTTTGAGCAAATAAAATATTGACACCCGACGAGACGTCGGTTTTAATTAAGAAATGATCGTTTGCAAAATTTCACTGGGTAGAAATGATATTTTAACTTGTCATTCAATGCTAACTTTCAACACAATTCATGCACAGGCGATGCTATGCTTAGAAATGATCTCACGTCTATCAAAAGAGCTGATGTTCACTGGATATACTTTGTATATATAACACCAAGCACACTCTGGTCGAAATTACTCGAGATTTTCTACATCGAAAGATCCACAATTTTGAAGCAAATCAAGCTGTCAAAATATATATCGCGTGTATACAGTTCTTGCAATTTGCATACATGCATGCACGAACAATTACCAATGTTCCAGCTATTGTCTTGTAATTTGTTTTTATTCAATTATCACCAATGTTTACTGCACATTGACAGACAAGCTTTAAAGAGCATTGGCATTTTACTATTTACCACTGACCGCGGGTAAAATATTTCTCAGGTAATCAGGACAATTCTTCACACCAACGTCAAAACTAAATCAATATTTGCTCAACCATCGCGCGGGGTTAATGTATACCTTCGCAGAAAAAAACCCATGCGATTGTTAAAACACACAATCAATGTTATTGCAAACGTCATATTTTCAAACAAGCTGGTCGAAATTTGCGAGCTTTTTTATCCATTGCCTCCTTACTAAATCCAAATTCCACGTTTAATCCAGGCCGTCTAAACTTGATGATAAATTTAGGACTCAGAGTGGACGATAAAAGCTATATTCATTACGTTACGTGCTTGAAATTTTTGTATGTTTTCGTAACAATAAAGACAAAACATATATATTGGACACTCGAGAACTTTAAGGATAAGCAATTTACTTCAACACAGTTTTGCGTCGATGTCGGCTGGTTGTGCTATCTTGAACCTTGCAAAATTCTATGAACTTCGACATATAAAAAGTAATCTTCAAAATGAATCTATCGAACTGAAAAACAATTTAAGGTATTCTGTATTATTCTGCATTTATGCACAATGCTTTGTGATCAATATTTTCCCTGTATATATTTTACACAATCTTTACTGACTGTACGAGTTTTCGCCGATGCTCGGGGGGAATTTATTGCGTGTGCAACCGAGATTTAAGACTGTTAATATAATTCAGTCAGTATTAAGCTAGCGTATTAATTTCACTTGTCTAAGTACTATAGTCTGAAAACTCGAGAGTAATTATTTCCATGGCAATTGTATCAATATTTACCAAACCACACAACTGTGTTAATGTGGTTTGGTCAGCATGAGAAAACACGCCACCATTGGCAAAAATACCAATTGTGTTTACTCAACAATTAAACCACCCATGTTGATAGTCGAAATCCCCCTGTGTTTTCCAGCAAATTCGTATCTAGACACGCGTCAAAGGGACCCTAAAACATCAATAAATCAGTTCTAATTTGCTATTATATAACAAGGCTAGGGTTGATTGCTCAGAAAAGATAGAGGTTCGTTAGCTTCTCAGTTTTTGGCTTGGTAAAAGATGAGATTTGCTGCTTCTAAACCCGTCGTTTCTATTAATTCTATCCGTTTGAAATTCTTGTCAAAAGGGTAGAATATATATATATAAACCTTATTAATTAATGGCGCTTTATACGTGCGGAACACACTTGGTAAATAGCCCACTGAGAAAATTACCTAAGGCTAAAGCTAACAGGGAAGTTCACTTTAAAAGGTTTTCATCCATTAGTTCTGCTTGAAAAATCCTCGGCAAAAAGGTTTCATGTCCTGTCTTGTTCATGAAAATCATTTTCAATGAAGCTTGCTGCATGTACATACACAACCTTGCTCCTTATAGTTTGTCTAACTCATAAATAGTTCCATGGTTCCATGAATATAGCTACTTTATACATAGATATATTTAATCATTCCTGCGGTTTACCAAATATTGCCAATTCAATTGCCATGGAAATATAGTCAATAATAATCATATGTACAAGCAGGTTCAAAGATAGAATATAAGTGCGTGAGTGATATATATTTATAACTTTGGGGCTGACAGTATCTATAGGAACATTTTCGACACAAACAATTGATTAAATCTTATTCTGCATCGAATGGTTTGACCGGAATCTCACAACGATATTTAAAGCTTTATAAACATGGAGTTATTAGATTATTTGATGTGAAGATTTGCATTAACCCAGGTTAAGCTTGCCGGCTTTTGAGCAACGACGTTTCCAGGTTTATACGAATGCATATGCATGGAGTGTATATTTTTGTAATTGCATAAAAAATAGCGAGGTTTCTGTGCGGATCGAGTCAGACTTTTATCTCAGCAAATGTGATCATCGTAAAGATTAATTTCATCCCATAATTTGGCATTCCCCGTTATTCGATGTTGTTGGTAACTGAGCAACTTGCCATCGAGTTTTGATTATGTTTGCATTATAATTGGGACGTTAATTCAGACTCACAATGTCACTATATACTGTCTGTATATGTCGCGTATAGCCAAATGCGTGGGTATACTTGGAAAGTATACCAATCTCATTGTCATTTCGACGAAGATTAATTTTCTATATATGCGTATAATACTCGACACTTTTCAAATTCAGGAAATTGAGTGCTGTCGTATATATATGTTGTCTTACAAGAGCCTCTCATTAAGATCATATCTTTTTACAAAAAAAAAAAGGGAAATTTGTCCATTTTTTTTCAAAGGATATGTTTGTCATATAAGCGTTAGAAGCATGCAATCGCGAACGATAAATCAATCTTTTGAAAAATATGGGCAAATCCACAACCAAGATATCTACGTTTTCAGTCCGTTTTTTTTAACAATGTCTATATGTGGGACGTGCTAGTCGAAATATGAAATTTTAATATATATTCTGATCATATCAGCTGGCTACGGCCGGGCACGGCCGCCCGAATCGAAACTCTCTGGCATAAGTATATTTTCATAAATATACTTTGTTTAACATGAATAGCAGCACGATTTTATATGTGCAGATTGTGATTTCACATTTATGATCGACATGAATTGTGTATTTACTTTGAAAAACAATTATTAACAATGTAAACAGCAGTTTTAAACGTTTCTAAATTATATTGCGTGCATGCTGCAAAGATGCATCCTTCATCTTAGCAACAGACGACTGTATATTCTATAAACACAGCTTTTTTTCATGGAAATATCTAAATTAAGGAATTTGAAAGTGTCCCAATGCACGAAACCTTGATTGAAATAAAACTGACGCGCGTATATAATCCCTTTTACTCCGGCTGCGCAATTATCTCAGCGTCAGGGCTGAACCACAAGACAGCAGAGCTAATATTCAGTTAAACATGTTTACAAATTTCAAATCAAGCCTCAAAGCGATCCGAAATTGGGAATAATTAATTTGGGGAAATAAAAGATTGAAAATTTTCGCACTTTTTCCCGTCTATTGTGCTGAAACAATGTTTAAAACATGACTATAAGTAATTTAATCCGCATTTAAATATATAGCTAGTAGCTCCATGGTCTCGTTTTTGCCATAGTTGTTCCACAAATCGCCAAGGTGGGCAGGAGTTTGCGGTTGAAAATATGTTTGTATATATGCTGTCTGAACAATGCAAGGGGATTGTTCGAATAACCGAGACTTGAAGTCATCGTAGTTTACAGAATTGTGTTTTGCCAGTTGCAATTGTGATATATATTTGCTCGAGGCAATGTTCAGCCGACATGCTACGTGTAAAATTTGAAACTTGAAAAGTATTTCACACTTAACGGTTCTGAGACAGACGATTGGGACATGAGCCAAGTTTAAAAAGTTATCCATATAAGCTAGATGGTATTGAGTCATATAAAAATCCGCGTATAAAAACACCCTGATAAATTGATCTCTTTCGTATCGTTACGTTGAACCAATTCACCTTTGACAATCAATTTACTCATTAATTTTTCGCAAAGTCATATGCTGTAACTGATATATCACTCAAAATGTTCCCCTGATATCCTGAACCGAAACTAAACCATTACTTTTTTTGGTATAGGGAAATTTTTCAACAGTTTGCAATTTTTGCAATAATGTATGAACTATGAACTCCTTTATTAGTTTAATACTCTTGTTTTTGCATGCCAAATAATCGCGATATTATAACCAGAAACCGCAGGTCACCAAAACTAATACAATTCATGGCAATTATAGCTAAAACTTGTATTCGTGAATACAGGCTTTTGAACGGATTTAGCCGACTTTGTGAGTCTAGAACGCAGTTCGGGCATGTCCTTCCAATAATATATGTGTAGACAGTTAAATAGAAAAACAAATTATTATCGGAATAGATTGTGATAATTTTCTCGAAGCGCTGAGATAACAATTAATCTTTTAGCAAAGTTATCTTTTAACTACCAGCTTGTGTTAGTCCGTAAAATTCCACGCATAAAAACATTTAAGCAATTTTTTAAACACACCATGCCTTCTTTAATTTGTACATTTTGTACACAAAGATAATGCATGTTAATTTCGAACAAAAAGCCGGCTGATTTTTCCGCACCGTCTTATTTATCTTTTGTAATACGCGGCACAGCAGTTTTTGCGTAAAACGTGCTTGAATTTTGCCCCTCAGGTTCCGGTTAAGTATTGATGAAATTTTTCCCACCTTTCAGTGCCTACATATATATTTCAATTCAAATTGATTGAACGTTTGATGGCATCAGCTAGACGTATGTTTTAAGACGGACCCCCAACCACGCCACGGCGTTTTTGTGAATATTCAATGAATGTGTTTATAATATAAAGCTGTGTAACGTTTTATCCCAAGTTATTCACAGCTCAAACTGTGTACGAGAATAAACACTCGCAGCAGCTGTCACCGTTCGTATTGTGATTACCTATCAGCAACACAGAGGGTAAGTTGTACTGTTAAACTAATTCGTACTGTGCTAGGGCTTTAGTCACGTCCAGGGCGAATTTATGGGAAAACATTTTTGTGGCATATCTGTCAAAAGTAATATTAAGCCTCATCCCAATCTCGAGCAATTCGGGTCTGTACTTTACCCATTTAAATTAGAGATGTCGTTTTGTGTTTGCATTAGCAGTTCGCTATCAGAATAGAAGCTGTCAAAGAAGGGTTAATATTTACACTTGCCTTTCTCTATCGTTGACACTACAACGTCGGTTAATTGAACCTAGTAATGCCGAAGACTTGAAAAGCAAACAGGCTTTTTCATCGAAAGAATGGCAGGCGAAAATCACGCGACACATCTTATTAACTTTGAACAAATGTTAAATAGTCCACACAGGGCGATCGAAATGCCTTCGAAAGCGTTTAAACTTTGCTAATCCGGTTGCTTCCAAGCTTCGCTTAGAGATTTCTTTTGAGTCGAAATAATCCGGAATTGAAAAGGTCTCATCTCATTGTTTTCAAAAAGCCCTGCCGTGCAAGCGATGTTTTAAGATATTAAACGCAGCAAGGGTCTGCCTTTCAAATTTCCATTAGCTTGCACGCTAGCCATCTGCTGTGGCTACAAAATTTACACTTCAATGTAAATTCAAAGCTCTTCGCGGCCATTCACAAGAGTTTCAGCAGCGGGAAGTCTGGCTAATTCAAATGAGATAGAAATTATCGACTACTCAGCTTTGATTGGCTTTTGTCACATGCGGTTGGCTGTATCGAACCTGCGCTAATTATTATGATTAAATTGTCACAAAGGACGAACGCTGATTGGCCGAGCGCCCCCAGAGAGTTTATTTAGTTTGGGTAATCACTTTTAGGCCGCATTCAAACACGCTGCATGGGGTGAAAGCCTCGCGTTGCTTTCATCTCCTCAGAGCAGATGCTAGGGACGAAAATTAAAACTGCGCATAAACTCGGTAAAAATGACGCTAATGTCTCGTGTTGCGGTCTGCCCCAGACTAAATGAATGGTTAAAAATGTGCTCGCAAACACGCTCCCGTGTCAAATAATTCAAGCAGGCCTAGCAGATGCATTTAATGTTTAAACAAAAGCGATGTTTACTTCGCTGCATATCATTCACAGTTTGACACTGACAGCACAATGGAACTCCCATTTTTAATGTGAAAAACAGGAAAATTATCGATTTTCAGCAAATAGATCGGTTCGTGTTTGCCCAGAGTGTGAGTCGTGCTAGTTCAGCGACAGATAGTTCAACACCAAGTTTATGAAAGTATTTATACGCCCGTTCTACGCTTTCGGAAACAAAGGGCAGTTGACAGGGCTATATGTGACAGGTTTTAATTGAGCCTGTGCGCGCCGGCCATTGGATGAACCCGGCCTAAGATATTTGTAAGCAACCCCCGCTGAAAACTACGGCATATTGAAATCTCACTCGCTGGCTTTCAGATCAACACACGAGATACGGTTGGCCGTTCTAAAAAAAGGGTAAGTATCCAATGTTCATAAATTTGATACACGCGGGGGCTCCATATAATAATTCGAGGGTAGTATTAAAATATCACCCGCGATGCGATTGCCATGTAGTATTTTAATAATGCCTGCGCGGAATGTTGTGACCCGAGCGAACGCTTTTGAAAGGTAGGTAGGGTAAAAGCCATAAATCATCTCCACCACTTTACCATAACAACGGCATGGCAGGGCCGTTAGCTAGCAGCGTACTCTAGCAACGGAAAGGACTTGCTCTAGTGTGTCAAAAAGTGCTACGAGTCTGATTGATAGTGATCGATTACCTTTCTCACTGACTACATTATTAATGTCTTGCGCGATAATATAATAGCACACGCAGGGCCTCGCTCGTACGGGAAGAAATATTAATAACAGTGGGATTAATTAATGGAACTCGAACCTCTACTATAGAACTTCGCTCGCTGGTTGTCGAAATACCACATATATCGGACACCACGTTTTTACTTCACGTCGTTTTCTGTCTATCGTAGCGTGTAAGCCGTCTGCCTCACGAGAGCAAATATCGAATCGTTTGGTATATTAGCTCAGACGGGGTTCTTTCATGTTATATTAAATCATGTTTACGAGCGTACAACTCGAAGTATTTCGCTTCTGAGCGTGCGAATCGATCGACGTGGCTTGTACACCTTGACTGGCTTCGCTTCGGAAGGCATTTTCTATCGGGAAATTCGGGCGGAAAAGCGTCGAACGAACGAGGAGAAATATGTTCATAATACTCCGGTAATACATATTTTCTGTGTGTTCAAGTTTGATACAGATTACGATGGGGGTTATGTGGTACTTAGAAGCGGTCATCGTGTCCTTGTGAGCGACTTAACTTGCCTTGCTCAAACCCAGTGTCTCAGAATCGCAGACAAAAGCGCTTCAAATTTGATCCGGAGACGTCTTTTCAGTCAAGCAAAACCAAACAGGGCCGATCATGGCCGCGGCTATCTTCGTACCGTGTGTCGCGAATGCGTTTATTTAGCACTTGTGATGGACATTGTTGCAATACGGTCGCGTAAATCTTGCGTTCGTACGAGGTATTTACTGTTACAACTGCCTGAGTACGCCTGGCGCCGAGCATTCTGGTAAAATGCGACATAAGCCGAACACATTTTCAACAACTGAAGTCGTTTTATTTCTCGTGTTGACATACGAGAAAGGAGCTAAGTCGCTTACATGTTGCTGGGATTACGCGCACTCGCTTAGGATTGCCGTATCCTCAGACATAATGTGCTTGTATGATTCTAGGCACGGTTGTGACGCTTCCAAAGTCATCAAGTTGAGAGCGTGAGCTCGTCGCAAGTGACCGGGAAAAAATACAAAGAGCTACGGCAGTGAGGACTCTGTAAACAGTGTCAGTGATGGCCGTTCTAATGGCAGCGTGGTTCTTTTATGCTACACTGTGGGTGCTGAAGAGCGCGATATTGGTTCATAGTGAAGGTAACTAAACATATCTGAACTATTCGCTATAGACTATAGTATCGATACTTCGTAACAAATCGACATGGTCTGTTGCAATAACCGTGTGAGTGAAATATGATCGCATGTGTTTGTGTTTATTCTCAGCTCCTTATTTCCCATGGAATGCACGAAGCTCTGAGTATTTTTCCCTTTTTTTTCGTGCTTAAAATTCGCGGGGACGCTTTACCGGTTCTGCCAAAAGGACCCAAACAAAGTTCTTCATGTAATTATAGAAGTTTAAAAGCGTTCCACTTCACATCGCTAGGGTAAAAAAGGGTTCCTTTCCGATCACAAAAGCTTATTTGTGCCTTTGCCAATATGCTTTCTTCATTAAACATGTGGTTTGTAGCCATCGGCTGCCGAAACCGTCTGTTTTTTGCACCGCAATTTCTCGTGTTTTCCGTCAAAATTTACCCAGCGATATAACGGCAAAATACTACGATATAAATGGCCTAGTAATTGGTAGTGCGATAGGGTATTTGATATACCAGTCTTCCGTTGCGTGTACGTAAGATTTATGGACTCATGACAGGACATGCTTTGCCTTCAACTTATTTCATTCCGGAAATCATAATAATTTCAAATTGCGCGCTGTATTCTAATCTAAATTCAGAGCAGAACAATTTTGTACAAGTAAAATATCGCTTTGGTTTTATTCGAGTCGATTAAAACGGCGCACAGCAAGCGACAGAAAGTGATTGAACGTGAGGGAAATTTTGAACGAAATCTTCACAGATATTTTCCGCCTTCTGGGCAGATTGTTGTCATAGGGTGTTCATGTTAAGGTCTGAGTGTGCCTAAGTGTTTCTAAAGTCAACTTGGAATTCAAAACCTTTTCCTGAAGGTTTCGACTTATATAAACGACGTATATTGGGACTGTTAATCTATACTGAGCAGGTCGTTGTTTTTGTTTTCGTGCCTTGCATGATTTTATACAAAGGATATTATGCCCTTTCACAATGCTGTTCGCTTTTTTTCCTCGTTTATATTCACGGCTGTTTTGCAAGCAATATAGAAACCGCACATTTTTCGAAATGAGCCTATATTGATTCAGATGGCCTGCTGAATTTACGGCAAAGTTTAATATATTCGCGATACGAAGTGTTGTTTGGCGATGCATGAAAACTTGCCTCAAGCTAAAACTATTAGCCATTCAAGCCTGTCTGCAAAACAGCTTATTTTTAAAGGATTATGTCAAAAAAATTCGCAGGGAAATAGCGATTTTAGGGGATAACACTGATTTGTGGGAACGTTGACAACGGCATCATCGTAAATATATACGCTTCGTGTTTTATCTATAAATCGACCTCGAGTGGGGAGCCATTATATTTTTTTTAATGACAAAGAAAACACAAGCTATATTTCGTATCTTATGTTGTGGTATAGTAAGACTCGCGAAGCATCTAAGTCCAGCGACTTCGCTTGCTCGTTTACGCCACCCCAGTCGTTAAAGCAGGCTGGATACGTGAGCCAACGCATTTCGAGGATAATTCTTTATGTCGTTACTTGTTATTACCTTCGTTTATCTGCCCGCGATATCAAGCTTGCTCGTTTCGTAATCAGATTCTCACATCGCGCCAGGTCAAACCGAGTTGACCGCATAGTATATATGTGCACGAAGAACCTAACTCATAGGTTTCGTTCAGACCAGATCGCATGTCCTAACCATGCAACAAACCTTTGCAAAATTGGCTGGCTTATGCTATACATGTATACGCACAATTGTATTTGAGATACACAGACGTACATTAGTGTATATTTAGCAAGCATTGTTCAGGGACAATAATACCTACCTCACTGGGTCACGCGATTTCACGCATTCATCTAAGTTACAGAGAAACCTTTGAATTCGGGCGTTTTTAAGTAAAACATCGTTAATTTCAAAAGCAATTTGCTTCATTTGTGAGTAAATTGAAAACTCTATCGAAGAAATTAAAAAATAGACAACAGGTATATCTAATGGGCTTCGTTTCTAACAACACAAATGATTGGAACTTCAGGTGTTTAATAGATTTTGAGTTCGTTTCCTAGTTTTTAAAAGCCTCTCATGTTTACGTGGATAAATATACTATACGTGCAAAAAGCGTGTATTTTTGTAATGAATTGAGTCTTAGATTGATTTGAGATATCAGCCTTAAGGAAAACGGGTATATGCATGCATGTAAACATCTTCAGTGTATATTCAAACGTGAATTGTGGCATTTGCATAATACCTTTCGATTATTCTATATCCATATATACATATTTTAGCTGCAACACAGATGGTCAGGCAGGCATTGTGTATATTTTGCAGGAACTCCGCCTATATAGTTTTCAAGCCATCGAGACATTTTGAGCTGTTAAGTAAATTATACAAAATTACGATGATGATGCATAAGGGTTAATAGCATTAGAGCCATTGAAATGTTCACTGATTTCTCAAGGACGTCTGCTGCAATTAACTTCATACTGCCAGTCGTAAATAGTCTCGAGTGTTTGTATGTATGCATGCTTATATTCTAGCAACGTACTTTCGTATTTATGTGTAAGCCAAGATGAGTTTCACCTAAATTTTGTTTTGACGTTGCCTAATGCATGCAACTGTCTTTTTTAATGGTAAAAAACAGCAAAGAAAATAGGCTATTTGGTCGTGCGAGAAATTTATGTAAAATTGTCGGAAATAGATGTTAGAACGATCTGGTTTCATTTGAATAAAATTCAGACAAAATGTTAAACGGAGGATCATGCATGTATTGGCCTTTTAAATACTGAAAGCTTTAAGCAATTTGCATATTATGTTATTGGTAAAAATTGCTGCCATATTTTGTATAGTTATTATACTTTTGCTGGAAACATAAAGTTATTTTATGCTTTTAAGGTAAACAATTTCACCCATTTTTTCGCTTTGCAATATATTTATATAGCCTACACAAAAGGCTTTGTCATATATCACAGTGTGGTCATATAGGCTTAATATTACAAATACCAATGCAATGTTAAGTGAAGTCATATTTTCTGAATAATCTGGAAAGTTATTGATGCTCTCCAGAGAAAAATAATACCTTTGCAAACTCTGTTGGAGAATTTTATCGACTATCCGCGAATTTTCCTCTTGGAACACAAATTCGTGATATTCCAAATCCTGATTTTATAATACCTTAATTGTAAATCAGCTTACTACCCTATTGCAATATTTCTTCGGGTCAAACAGCTTTGTTCTAACCGCCTGATTAATAATCATTATCGCGAAAAGATTTAAAGTCATATAAAGTAGTCAAAACATAATCTATGCAAGATAGCTCGCGGAATGTGAGATCTCTTACCGACCTAAATACCGTGTATTGCTGTATACAAGGATTATTTTTTATTTAATAGCATAAGGAATAATTCGCATTCTTTAAGATGGGTATAGATGTAAAAATTATAAGCATATCATATGCTTCCAAGATACCAAACTCATATACGTGCTTGACTTGTGAACTTCAAGTTCAAAAATCGTAAAAGAGTCCTAATATTATTGCTTGCGTGTAATATGATACCCAGGAAAAGCGACTAAGATTTCAGATAATTTCACTAATTGAAATACTTGTTGAGATTAGACGCCGTGGAAATTGTTTTCGCGCTTTTTTCCCGCTCGATTTCAACGTGAATTCGCTGTTTTCTAAGCGCTATAGTTGTTGAAAACCAACAACATTGCAAAGGTCGAGTGTTTTGAATGCCAATATATTCGGAAAGTTCAAAAACAAACGCTGGTTCATGCAATGCCTGAATATGGGAACTGATTATTGCTTGAATAGGGTATTAATAGGTAAAAGCACACAAATTTAATAACTTTGATTAACAACTACATGAAATGAATGAGTGAGTGTTGTTTTATGGAGATGTTTCAAATTTCCATACTAGGGTTTGTCTTCAGAGACCTAGCAATATCTCGTAACAGTCTCTCACCTTGGAAGTTATTACGCAACCCGGGCTGCATCTATCGCAAATTGCATTTGTAAGATTAAAAACATGTGTAAAAGGTTGACATTGAAGATTTCCATATTAAAATCTCGTTCCAGGCTTTCGAATATGAGGTAGTTATTCGTGCTTGGCTTTTTTAAATCCACTTTTCTAGCAAAATATTTTATTGGATTCAATATATTTTGCTCAAAGGCACTGAAATAGCTCAGCTAAAACACGCGAAGCATGTCCTTGTTAAAATATCATATGACTTCGGGCATTTTTATTTGATGTTCACAATCTTATAAAATCTATTCATTAAGTGTCGCGATGAATAACTATCCCACCCCCAGACCAAATTAATTTCCCTTTAGATTGTGAGGTAGATTGCTGCAATAGGACATGTACAATGCGAATATACATGCACCTTCCCCCAACTGAATATTCAATCCGTGAAGATGTTTATTCACCTAATCCAATTTGAAAGATCTGGAAACAATTATCAACTAGGGGTAACAAAACAGTATGAATGAAGCTCAAAAGAGACCATGGTATTTTTACTGTAAACATTGAGTTTGACATTTGAAAGTACCCCTCGCTGTTCTCTATTTTGGTTTCCGATGTGGTTCCTTATGCATCATTTCCTTTTGAAATTACGTTTCCGTGTTAAAACGTATGAAACCTGAGAGTTTTGTGTACTATACCGTGTAGACAGACCGGCATAAGTAATATAGGACGAAACATATAGTGCCTGCATAGGATTTCTTGTTGTGTTTCCATGGCAAAATCGGCATCCTCAAGGACTGTTTCATTTTTTAACCTTCATGAACTAAAAAATCGTACATAATTTGTAATTTTAGTTTGAAAAGCGGCCAAATTTGAAGTGTTTTGCCCGAAGGCAGTTGTGGTTTTGGAAAATCTAGAAGTACACGTATTTTGGTGTCTAATTTTGGGGCGATTACGTTATTGCGAAAAACATTTCTACATGCATTTTAACAATAACAAGATTTTGTGTGGGAAATTCCTCTAGCATTTTTGCAACTGCAGGCATTGATTTG